ATGGCTTTGCTGTTCTTGAGAAGAAGATTTTTAAAGATTTTTCCTATATATTTCTATGTAAAACTTTGATCCTACATTGTGGCCGCACCCTCCCCCGTGGGTCATGATTTGAACAAACTTGAAACTACACTACCTGAGGATGCTTCCATATAAATATGAATTATCATGGCTTTGCTGTTCTTGAGAAGAAGATGTTTAAAGATTTTTCCTATATATTTCTATGTAAAACTTTGATCCTACATTGTGGCCGCACCCTCCCCCGTGGGTCATGATTTGAACAAACTTGAATCTACACTACCTGAGGATGCTTCCATATAAACATGAATCATCATGGCTTTGCTGTTCTTGAGAAGATTTTTAAAGATTTTTCCTATATATTTCTATGTAAAATTTTGATCCTACATTGTGGCCCCGCCCTACCACCGGGGGTCATGATTTGAACAAACTTGAATCTACACTACCTGAGGATAATTCCACATAAATATGAATCATCATGGCTTTGCTGTTCTCGAGAAGAAGATTTTTAAAGATTTTTCCTATATATTTCTATGTAAAACTTTGATCCTCCATTCTGGCCCCGCCCTACCCCCAGGGGTCCTGATTTGAACAAATTTTAATCTACACTATCTGAGGATGCTTCCATATAAATATGACTCATCATGGCTTTGCTGTTCTCGAGAAGAAGAGTTTTAAAGATTTTTTCCTATATATTTCTATGTAAAACTTTGATCTTCCATTGTGGCCCCGCCCTACCCCTGGGGGTCATGATTTGAACAAACTTGAATCTACACTACTTGAGGATGCTTCCACATGAGTTTCATCTTTCGTGGCCCCGTGGTTCTTGAGAAGAAGATTTTTAAAGATGCTATTAATTTTCACTAATTTTTTATTATCTCCCCTTGAAAGAGGGCGCGGCCCTTCATTTGAACAAACTTGAATCCCCTTCACCCAAGGATACTTTGTGGCAATTTTGGTTGAAATTGGCCCAGTGGTTCTTGAGAAGAAGATGAAAATGTGAAAAGTTTACAACGACAACGACGACAACGACGACAGACAACGTACAAATTTTGATCAGAAAAGCTCACTTGAGCCTTTGGCTCAGGTGAGCTAAAATGGGGACGAAAAAATGTTGTTTATCGATTCACTAGGAAAATTTATGTTAACTTTGGAATTTACTTTCATATCAAGTTGTGACTTTATGATTTATTTTAAAAAGTTGGGCATCGTTTAGAAATGATCCAGTAAATTTTTCAAGAGTCAAAACAGTCAGATTGTAATCTATTAGAGATTTATTATTGTACATGTATTACAAATGATCAAATAATGATTAATTTTTTCATTAATTTTCTATGTGTAAGTACAATGAAAAGAGAAATAAAATAAACATGCTATCAAAAGATGATGCTTACATTGTACGAGTACACCTCTTTGTGCCATTTATGTGTCATTTTAGAATTAGAACAAATTATCAGATAAAGATTATCTGTAAGTATGCTTAAGTTGTAACATAGTTTAATATACTGCAAAATGATATTATCTCAGCATGCATAGTTTAATATACGACAAATTGATATTTACCTCAGCATGCAGGCGCGCCTGAGGCATCATTATTGCGAAATAGATAAACAGGCAATTCTTTAAATTGTAATTTCTGAATACATATTTCATCAGATAATATCTTTGTTGTTACGCTGCCAATTTAACTTTTATAATATGCAGTTTTAAGGACATTTACCTCTGCTTCTAGCCTCCATGTGGCATCATTATTTTAACTAGACATTTTGTTTATTTACTACTCTTACACAAAGTCTTCAAGGTGAATATAATTTTCATTTTTTTTTAGAACAATATTAATACGAAACATATGATGTTATCTGTATTGAATTACATATTCTGAAGGAAAACATCTTGGTGCCTTGAGGGTTTTAAAAACAAAAACAAAACACAAAAACAGCTACCAAAAAAGGTAAGAAAGAAAGAAATCTGCATGATGATTCAATTCACAAACATAAATCTTCTTTTTATGATTATGCGTTGATTTTGTTTTTAAATAGAGATGGACGTATAAAAATATAAGCGGACTTGTTGCACAAGAAAAATATTTTACGACATAATCATTCAAAAAGTTACACATAATGTGGTGAACCTTACATGTATGGTTATCAAAATTTCATTTCAAAATGTTTTAAATTGATTTTAATTTTGGGTGCTATAGTAGGATATACAGTGAAGTCTCTATGCAGTAAAATTTTCGATGTCACGGGTCTTTAAAAAGTTTCCTCAACATATCTGTTAGTGTTTGATACCCTACACTTTGTGTTAGCTTATCCTCTCAGCATAAACACCCATATAACATTTTTGGTCGAATTTAAAAAACAATAAAACTAGTAAAGTATCTTCTAGTTTGTTTTAAACCCAAAAACTGCCGATATATCTGAAATATTGTGTAACGTCAGTTGCACTCAATCACGTTCTTGAAAGTGTAGTTCGTTTATGTTTTCATGATCTTCTTCCGTCCCCGTCTAACCGTCTAAAAGTTTCTTTTGCTATTTGTAGAGAGATGTCGAAAATACCACCGGCTTATTAAATGTTTCAACCAGCATAGTCTGGGTCTATGATAGCGTTTTCTCGAGCATTGCACATAATTTGATGAAAGTCCACTGCTCCGTCAAATCACGAGACGTCATTTTTGCATTTTTTTCTTCTTAGGGATAACATTGGAGAAAAAATTCTGTTAGTACTTCAAATATTACATTAGAAATCTAAATACAGAATAATAGAACAAAGAGAGAGAGAAAAAACTTTAGAGAAAAAAATATCAAAAATATCGCAAATTATAGATAACAAATAGAAGTGTGATTTTCAAAGTTTTTGCCGTACTCCGTACATCACTATCAACAACATCAAACAGCAATAATTTAGGAGAAATCAATTAAAATTAAAAAAAAATTATCAGAACTTTACTGGAATCTCTAAGAATATGTTCTGTTAATTTTCATCACTATATTTGATGTCTGTAGGGGTAAATTATAGCAGAATTCGCGTAGTTTTTGAACGGCCCTCGTATTTTTGGTATATTTGCATAATATCGGCTCACTAGTTTAGAATTCAAACACTATTATTTTACTTATAATTAAAAAAAACATTCCTCGATGATTTTTTATATATTATGTATGGAAAATTAAGAATTTAGATATATTTTGAATGTCATGTATTTGAAATATATGAAGAGTGATCAAAAAGTTCGAGAACTAATTGAATTTCTTCCATAAAAGAAATGGAATAAGGTTTCAGTGTTCATTATTTATTAACGTAGTCATCTCCGATTTAAATGCACACCTGCCACCGTTCTGTCCATGCGCGAATCACGTGATACAGGTGGTCAAGTGGCATGCTCCGTAGCGTTTTGTTCATAGAAGATAGAAGGTTTCCGAGTCTGATATATTTCTTACCTATGATGGCATATTTCTGCACCCTACATGCAAGATAAATTATGTTAACATGCAAGAAAAGTATGTCAACATGCAAGATTATTATGTCAACATGCAAAATAATTATGTTGACATGCAAGTTACAGATCTTTTTTGAGAATCTAATTTCAATGTTGGTAAAATTACTTACTAACGCCAGTATACGACATCATACAAGCAAGCTGCAACAGAATTATGTTGACATGCGACTTATTTATGTTAACATGCAAGATTATTATGTTAACATGCAAAATATTAATGTCAACATGTGACTTATTTATTTAAATAAGTCGCATGTCAACATAAATCTGTTGTATCTTGCTTGTATGATTTCATATAATGGCGTTAGTAAGTAAGTTTACCAATATTAAAATTAGATTCTCTAAAGAAATAGGTAACTTGCATGTCAACATAATTATTTTGCATAGTGACCATCACAACCCGAGTCCTTTTTCTTGGGAGCATTGTTTATCCAATGTGGATAAAGTATGTTGCTAAGATATTCAATTATTTTTCTAAATGTAACTTGACAATCTTCCATAACAAATTATTCAACTTAATACATATCTCATTCCCAGCTTACTTTCACTGGGCAACAGAACGAACATCATTTTTAATCATCTCCTTTCCTTCAATGAAACAATAAATCCAATTAATGATTGAACTTCTGGCAAGTCCTTTGTCTTCATAAATCTTATACAAATTATTATATTCTACTACAAAGTAATATCCAAGATACACGTTAAACTTTACAGCCATTCGTTGCTCGAGTACAACCGAGTCAATCATTTTTGTCACAAATCACCTACATATGTCATTTTCACATTGTGACGTAACAAATATGGAGCAAAACATAACATAACATCTGCCAATTATACAGAACATGTGTATATGACTATATGTTTGCCAAATTTTCATTCTTATCTGAATTGTGGTTTTGTAAATACAGAGATAGTTCGCGAAAATTTTTGATCACCCCTTGTATCATCACAATCAAACTTTACCGATATTCTTGAAAAACTGAAAATTATGAGGCGCGGTTTTGGTATTTATTGCCATTTAGTGATATCACCTATTCGAATAGGTGACATCACCTGTACGAATAGATGATATCACCTATTCGAATATGTGATATCACTCATTCAAATTGAATAGGTGATATCACCTATTCGAATAGGTGATATCACCTATTGGAAATGAAAAGGTGATATCACCTATTCGAATAGGTGATATCACCTATTCAATTTGATATCACTTATATGCATTTCTTACAACAATAAATAATGAATGCTCCCTTCCTCAAGACTATCTAGATTTCCATTGAAACCAAGCAAATTCGGGCTGCAAGTTTTCCCCTGTATTTGAGTCCTAAACATTTTAAAGACCTTATCTTATTGATCCCTGTAAAGTTATATAAATTTTATAGATTAAACCAAGCTGGGGTACAACAGAGTGGCATACCTTTCCTCTTAATAATGTAAAGTGTAGTCTCGTTCAACCAGACGCTCGGCTGTCTCCGTAAATCTCCGACGAGCAGAGAGTCTGGTAAAGAGTCACGGTAGCGACCGTTACGCCAAAACGAGGCTTACCAAAATTCTGGTAAAGTTTTTGATTGGCTGAGAAGAACACACCTCCAAAATGAATCGTGAATTGATAGACGATGTTGTAGCCGCATTAAACCTACCTTTTAAACTTAAAGATTTACAACTTGAATGCTTGAAAGCTGTAGCAGATGGAAAAGACTTATTTGCGGTTTTGCCAACTGGATACGGGAAAAGTGTGCTGTATACCGTCCTGCCGAAATTATTATGGGAATCTAAAGTGAAAGTAAGATGCTCGACCGGTGTAGAACATTTTTCTTCCGTTGTGATTGTTATTTCGCCCTTGATTTCTCTGATGAAGGACCAGGTACTTAATATCAAATCTTTAGGGGTTGACTGTGCATATATTGGAGAGAAGCAGGAGGGAGGTATATATGTATATTTATCTCTGTAATATATTTACCTTTGTAATACGTAACTTTGAGTTATACATCATCTGCATAAGTGTCAAAATCATTATGGATCTTTTTCGCCATTAAAAAAAATATCATATTTAGTATTCTTATAATTAAGTAACTTCTTTTGGCCATACACAGTTATGTTATATTTGTAAACAAATGGTTTTCTTCAATGAAGGAGAGCTGATGAATATTAAAAATGGAAAAGTCCCAGTTCTATTGATGAGCCCAGAGAGTCTGTTTTCTGGATCCTGGAGACAAGTTCTGGAGACTGATGTTATCAGGAGATTGGTGTCAGCAATAGTGGTGGATGAGGCTCACTGTGTGGAGCAATGGTGATTACTTAAAATATATCCCAATTTAACCATGTTAACTGAGAATAGGTTCAGAACAGGGAGGAGACTATATTAAGCTACACACATTTTAGTAAATTTTTTATTAAAGGTTATTCTGATATTTATAAAGTAATGCTGAGATTAGTGTGTGTGAGTGATCCCAGGCCCACCTCCCAAGTGTTTAGAGGTCTGCGTTTGCTCTGCTCCAGATTTGTATTGTTTCAATGGACTTTTGAACTTGAATACTGTTTGTTATCTCCATATTTCATGTTTTCAAGAAGTTTGTTTTATTTCTTACAAACAGGGGAGATGAATTTAGGACAGATTATAGCAGGATTAATGAACTAAGGAGCATTTTACCAGAAGCTGTGATGGTTGCTTTGACAGCTACTGCAACTCTCGATTCTAGAATTAAAATATCCAAAATGTTGGGAATGAACTCATATCATACAGTTATTGGTTGCTGCAATAGGGAAAATATCATGTACTTTGCAAAAAAGGCATCTTATGATATAGAGGAAAATTTCCAATGGCTTATTGATGAACTTAAATTGAAAAAAAGTGAAACCCCTAAAGTAATTATTTATTGTAGAAATATCAAGACATGTTCCATTATTTACTCCCTTTTCAGAAGAAAACTTGGTGCTAATGATTCTTACATAGGACAATCTTCAGCCCGAAATTGTTTGTATGCTATGTTTCACCACTCTACTCCAGATAAAAACAAACAAATTATTTCAGAAAATTTTCGACAACCTGATGGTAAACTTCGTGTAGTAATTGCAACCAATGCTTTTGGGATGGGCATCAATGTAAAAGATATACACAAAGTCATTCATTGGGGTGCACCAAAAAGTGTCAATGGTTTCATGCAGGAAAGTGGTCGCGCAGGCCGAGACAACAGCCCCTCACAATCCATCGTGTACTACCACCCTATTGATGTCAGTGTGACAGCAACTGATGATCAAATGAGACAATACTGCAAGTTAAAATCTTGTAGAAGACATTACTTAATACTTCATTTTTCACCTGAAAATATGAAAGCTGTGCAAGGAACACCCAAACACTTTTGCTGTGACAACTGTGCTATCTCGTGTGATTGTCAGCACTGTCCTGTGGACTTTTATTCATTTTTTCCTAATGAGGACGATAGCATTGTTATGGCAGCTGCTGGCCAATATGATGATAACAAGTCATACCGAACTATCACTGATGAAAAGAGAGAAACTTTGACAGTTTCCTTACATGAAATGAGAAAATCTTTACTTCAAAGTGAATGTTATGAACCAACTATCTTGCCAGCTGAAATTTTGACTGGTCTCAGTGACACGGTGATAAAAAACATTGTCTCAAATGCGCACTACATGTTTGACATTGATGATATTTATGGAGAGTATGTTTATGATAAAAAAACGGCAGAAAAAATTTTAAAAGTCATCGACGAAGCATGTACACATACATATATTTAATTTCAGGTTAAAAAAATTATTTTTGCACATAAAATAAAATGCCTGTTAAAATGATGTTCGTTATTTCTACATGCAGTAGTAACAAGAAGTCTGTGAGCCAATGCTCACTAATAATACCCCCGCTCTGATGTGAATACACAAGTTCAGTTATGGACAAACACAGTGACAATCAGGAAATTGACATCGGATTTGTAAAAACTGAATCCCAACATATGGCATGCCTAAACAAAGAAAAAATTTCAAGCATCTGCGATGAGTAGTTGCTGAGAAAACTACGACCAAAATTTATTATGTATGGTATGGACAGACGCACGGATAAACAGGAAGTTGACATCAGATTTGTTCCAAAAATGAATCCTATTATATGGCATGCCTAAACAAAGAGTGTGTTAAAATTTCAAGCACCTCTGATGAGTAGTTGCTGAGAAAACTGCGACCAAAGTTTGTTACGGACAGACAGACAGACGGACAGACAGACAGACAGACAGACGGACACACAAGGGTAAAACAGTATACCCCCCTCTCCTTCGGAGCGGGGGTATAATAAGAATTTTCAAAGAATAGTCTACAAGAAGTTCCTATAATGACACAACCATCATAAATAATAATAAAATTTAAAGCTTAATGTGCTTAACCAGAAGTGTAATTTCTGGAGGTACATTCACATTTTTGATACTTATATATGGGATAAATCTGAATCTAGAAATAATATACACTGATTTGGACACAATTCTTTTATCAACAATTCACAATTCTAACTCTTTTTCAGGGTAATATTTCTTTGTTTTCTTGAACAGCAAAGTGCCTACAAGTTATTTAGTGTCAGAAACTTAGATAAACATACATGTACTTATGTTGAACCTTCAATTAAGTCATTACAGTATGGGTTTTTTCTCATTACCAGTAATAGAAGTTTACCCAATTCCAAGAAAACAATAATTCTGTTTTTTTTTTCCTGTCATGTTAACATCTATACAGGTATTGAAATCTCATATGATTATCACACTATAATTTACAAAAGAATGAAGACATATCTACTGTCTACAAAATTTTTCATTAAAGTAATCCATGAACATGTTTTTGATCACATTTTTCTTACATAAGAAAGCATATTTTCCAAATGAATACTCCCTTTTCTTTTCATTTATCCATTTATGCAATTCATGTACATCTACATTGCTTAAGATGTCAACATTTTCCATTGTGAAAGTTTCATGTGATCTGCCGGGAATGACTTGAAAAACACGCGAGTTGGTCAACTGCTGAATGATGGAATTTCTATCACGTTGTAAACTTTGAGGAGTGTGTTCCCTGGATAAAGGTGCAACATTAATTTGCTTTTCCAGTTTGTCTTGTATATCATTACAAAACATCATTGTTTTGCCTATACGCTCAACGCAGGACTCGGTGTGATTTGGCCCTAGTAACTTTATTCGAGATTTTGCATAGCGATTTAAAAGTTCCATTACATAATCACCTTCAAGGTTGTGGCCTTCCCCACCCTGTAGATTGATAAATCTGTTGCTGATGACTTGGTGTCTTTGTCTAGGAGTTAGTAAGGCATTCACCCCAGCAAGCAATAGAAAACTTTCAAGGCGGTATTTAACTTTGTGTCCCTGGTGGTATAGCAACATGGCATATTTCCAGTGGCGCAACATTCTATTGCCATCTCCATATCTGGTGGCATTAACAGAAACCTTTCGGAGAAGTCCCATTTTTGTAAAATTGGTTGCATAATTATGAATAGCATCATCTTGTGCAATAGGGGCTTCATCCATGGTTGATGCTGGGTCTTCAATTCTGTCAACATTGATAGTAATGGCATTCAGGAAAAATGTATCAACAATTTCACCTACCAACTGACGTAATATTCTTCTTTTCATGTTTGGATCTGCAATATGTAGGGCGACTGGTATTTTCTTGCATTGGCTCTCAATATTCTCCATCCCACAGTACTCTAAACATGCAGCAATTACATGACATTCTGTTACTAAATCAACAAAATCACTAGCAGCATGATAGTTTGAAGACACATTTTTGGAGACATTCCTGCGATTCAGAAGGTTCTTCAGTTGATAAAGTGTGGCTGCATCTCTGCAACTTTCAGGCTTAAAGTATTTGTCCATAATCAACTAAATAATAAAAAATAGTACCATATGTAACGAAGTTTTCCAAAGCCGAAGAAAATATGTATGCTGATTTTGTTCTCTGTACAAATTTTATTGAAAGAGTAATTATTCTGGATGTAACATGCTATTTCATTGGCTGAAAGTAAAAATGGTTTACTTCTCATAGCTTTTTTTGATTACATCAAGAATTTAAAATGAAATGTGTCTAAGTCAGTATATATATTATTTACTGGTATACAAGAAGGTCTTTAAAAATTACCTGTAAGAAATTCATTTTTTCATGAAAGTCCTCTACCATGCAAAATAAGCCTTCTAATCTTTCTTCAGGTGTATCCCCATCTAAACGTGCCATGTGAGCTCCTCTGATTCTTTCACACGTCAATTGGTCACCACCTACAGGAATCTGACGCATTCCAGCACTTGTATCATCCCTAATTAATTTAGCAAGAAATTTTATATATATATATATATATATATATATATATATATATATATATATATATATATATATATATATATATATATATATATGCACACACAAAGGCACACACTGTTAGTTTAAATTTTGCTCAATACATTTTGTCCTCGGTAAAATTTTATTTTTAGGTTTACCGCAAATCCACATTGCCTATTTCCTCTGCAGATCTTGCATTTGGCACATAGTTTTGTAGATATTCGAGTATCTCAATCATATCATTCATTTTGTTCTCATTTTTGGCCAAGATTCCCAAGGGTAACTATAAAAAAAATATATCAATCTTTTTTTTTAATGAAGTAATTATTTTATGGTAATCAAAAATTGTATTATGGTTAAAATTATCAAAGTTGTTGCTCACTGTTTTAACAAATATTTCCTTTATTCTTTCATTAAACATTGTTAGACATGAAGAGGAGATGAATACAGAATACTGAGAATAAGATTAATATAATACATGTAATATATGAAACATGCATTTTCATGCTAGTAAGGGAACTGGTACAAAAATAGTCAGGATACTATTTAGGTTTTACTTACTAAGGACTACTAGTTCTAATCTAATTAATGCAAGATGATAACATCATTCATTGTCAGTCACACAGAGTTGCCACACTGTTAGATCAATAATTTTAAGAAGTACCAGATGAGAACAAATAAAATGAAAAAATTATAATCATGAGATGTGGTACATGTACATGATGCTGATTAAAAGACAAAAATGAATTGATGATAATGTAACTTATCTAGTTCAACACTCAATATAAACTGGCTCTTTGTGAACTGTTTTCAGAACTGGAGTACACCATGCCTTGTATCCAATGATCTGATGAACGCTTTGTTTCAGAAGTAATTGCAATTACAAAGGCTTTTTATCATTACCAGTTTGCATTTGCAATACAACTGAATCTTTAAAACCAATCTTCAACTAACTCTAAAATAAACAAGATAAATACAGTTAAAGTGAAAATGTGCAGCTATTTGTAACATTTTTGATTTCTTACAAAAAGATATAATTATTATTCTTTAATATCTGAAAATACTATTACACTCTGCCTTTATTCCTGCATTGATTTCATTACAGAAATGAAGTTATAATAGCTGCGATTCATAAACAAATATATAAGCAATTCAATACAAAAATGCCAAGCTTTATGATTTCAATGAACATGATGAATACCACAACAGACTTCTTCTTCATTTCTTCAGAATATTCATGCTCAAACCCATGTGTGAGGACACCCTTGAATATGGAGAATGCAGGAATATTCTCCAACAAAATATGACTAACAACAGTAATAATATCATCCCTGAGTGATGATATGTCCTCTCCATTTGGCAAAAAGTCAGAATTTGGGACATTGAGCAGATTTCCTATTGGTCTGTCATCTATAAGATCTTCACAGCAGACACGATCCTTGATGGCCATCAACTGTACATAGTGCTTTGATTGGTTTTGATGATCCTGGGTCATATTTCGGACCTGTAACAGGAAATCCAAATTGTCAATGTTAAATCTGTATCCACTGTCTTGTATGTCACAGGGATATTTGTACATATCTTGGGTGTTTCTGTGCACATAGTCATGGTCCAGTGCACAAACACTGACTTTCTTTGTGTCCGTTTCTTCAATTAGTGCATAATTATGGTCACAGCGATTCCCTGGAGTTTCAATCCCTTGTTTCCAGTTTAACAGTATTTCATCAACATTTCGTTTGACTTTATTCAAAGCATTGTTCAGAGACACATGAGAAGTGGTTATGCCCAATTTAGAAAGAATCATAAATCCTTCTTTCTGAAGCTGATTATTGTACAGACAGATGGATACACAATGCTGCAATGCATTCAGATAAACATTCCTGCTATGTAATAATATAGAGCAGGCAGTTGTAATTTTGACATCATCACTCTCTTTGTTTTTGTTCTGGGCAACAGATTTAAGGATACCCCATGTTGTAGGAATTTGTTTCTCATACTCTTCCTGAAGCTTCCTGAATTCAAAGTTATTCAAATCAACAGGTTTCTTTTTCATGGATGATTTTTTCTGTTTACACAAATGAGAGCATTCCTTATGAATAACAGAATTTATTCCTGTTCGAGTCTGTCTTCTTATGTGTTCTGATTTATTATGCAGTAGTAGTTCAACAGCAGACTGTACACTTCCATTGCACAATTTTGTCAATACAGTTGTCAAGCAATCTTTCAGATTATTAGTCCTGTATTTTACCAATGCATGCCGCTTAGAATTTCCTTCATAATTAGGGGGTACAGCAGAGAGGTGTTGCTCAGTTTGTGTAAATTTTTCTGACTTCACTGGTTCTGACTTCTGAACCTTCTCTGACGAGTTGACAACCTCTGAATTTTGCTTTGAAAAAAGGCACACTTTGCTCTTTGGGGTCAGACATTTTAGTCCTGTAGGTCAGTGAAATATAAATCTTATTTGAAATATGT